GGAAAAAGCAAAGCAAAACGAAACAAAACAGGAGGTTACTTTTAGATGCAGTTCTTGCCACAGACAAGTTAGACACCAGCTCAGTATTGTGATATCTAATGTGAAGGGTGGGGGGCACGTTTTCTAAGGTATTTTATGTTCTCTATCCACTCCTGGGAATCTTTGATTGAGGTAATGATGGAGAGCAGGCTCTATTTCCCTCACCTGCCAGCATTTGGGCAGAGGAAGTCCTTAGTCCCAGAAATATGGAAAGTTAGGGGTGATGTGGTAAGGCTCAGGGCATCTGTGTTGCACTGTTGGCATAAGTTTCCCTAGTGTTCTTCATTTAGGATACTGTCAATTTTTATATGACAAATCATAGTCCAATGGAACAAAAGTCTAATTTATGATTATTATTTTTGTTAGTGTTATTTCCTTATCATTGTGTCCCAGAGTGGAATTAGTTGGCCAAAGAATGTTTTAAAATTTGTAATGGTTAGAATGCTAATTAAATTGCTAGAACTTAATCCCAAAGCCCCCCCCCCATAGTGAGTTACCTGAGAAGGAAGTTCATTTCTCTCTCATACAACAGACTGTAAGTGTTTCCAAACTGGCGAGGTGATTGCCATTGTCCACACCCAGTTCCCACTTCCATTCTAGAATAGCTGCTCTAGCTCTTGTCATGTCCCAGCCAAATGGAGGAAAATGGCAGGAGGACACTTGTGCCTTTCCTACTGGGGCATGACCTGGAAGTGGCACACAATTTTCCACTCACATCTCACTGGTAGGACTTAGCCACATGGCCACACATTGAGGTATCAGAATGCTACAAAATACACAGACCTAGTTAAAATTCAGAGGTACATTTTGAAGGTGAAGAGGATGATTTTGTATTCTCTGCTAGAAGGCTTAAGCCAAATTATTTTCCAAACTTTAGTTCCCCCGAAGTTGTATGGCCATGCCATTTTAAGAAGCACTTATTCAAGACCACTTATTGTGTTAAACCTCCAGACAAAGGGGGATTGATGTAGAAGATGTGGGAGGCATTTTAGTATGCGTCAAACAGCTGGAGATGGGGATTACTTTAAAATTAAATGCTGCATTTTGATATCACAATCATGAATTGTAAAGGCTGTTGAAAGTTCTTCACAGTGAAGCTAATGGGAGCTTCACCATCTCTGGGTTGTTTTTGCTATAGAGTTGGGGCTCATATAAGGAAGCTCATCTTTGACCCTCAGTGCCATGCCAGCCACTCTGACTTTCTGACTTTCTAATTCCACTGTCAACAAATAACAAAGTGGTATGGTTTTGAAATGTATTTTCTTTTCCTGGTCATTACTGGATTATTGATGAATGGAGTGAAGGACTCAAAGAGGAGAAGGACGAGGCTACTATTGTATGTCAGAGGAGTTGAAAGCTCAGGAAATTGCAAGTCTTTGAGCTCCAACGTGCCTCCGCAGCAACCCTTGAGAAAAATGAAGTCTCTGACAGTCTCATCATGGGTCGGGTCACTAAACACTTTTAACTAGAAAGCGTCCTTCTGGATGGATCCTTTTCCTTTAACATTCCATGAGTGGGAGAAGGGCAGGAATTAGTGCAGTAGTTGAATGAATGGTAGAATGAAATGGTACAAGTTGACCATGTAAAACTATATACATGCAGTATAGGTTTCAAATATAAAATAAATTATCAACACTCTGAAGAAGATATTTATGCTTGTTTTATCTCTTCCATGATTTTCTTGTCTGCCCTCTTCCCTCCAAAATGTGACCTATTTGCCAGTGTTCCTCTCTCCCTCTCTCCCTCTCTCTCTCTCTCTCTCTTTCAGTGCTGAGGAATGAAACTCAGGGTCTTGTACATACTAGCCAAGTCTTCTACCACTGAGCAGCATCCCAAGCCCTTGTGTTTTACTTTTTTTCTATTTTCTGGAATCTAAGCCTATTTTCCATTCCTCCATTTTTCCATACCTTCATTCACCATCTATCTTTTTATTATCCTATCTCTCACATCATCCACCCTGCCACCCACCAATACATTTAGGTTAGTTAATTGTCCTTCAAAGCTTTAACATTTCCCAGGTGAGGTAATTTCTTGCATAACAGGCTGAAGAGAAAGGTTTGGAGAGAACATATGGTAGGTTTAGTTATCTTATGTTTGCTACTTAATTTTAAATCTGTAATGTTTGGATAAAAGCAATTTTGAAGCTAATTCTGCTCAGTCTGTAGTCCCCTCAGCCTAACTGATGTTGCTTTGGAATGTGAAATAACCCTCATCTGTGGCAGCAATGGTTCTATTGCTGAGGCCTTGGAGGTCCAGGTTTGCAGGTGTGGAGGCCACTGCCAGGTTTTAGTGGTGGCTCCTCCTGTGGTCAGGTCACTGGAATTGTGGGTACAATCTGTCCTGTCATTACTTTCGCTCTGATTAGCTTTCTGAAGAACTTTCGACAGCCTTTGACAGACATGGGTGAACATGGAAAAACTAGTTCCTCTGTGTGAGGCTGATTTAATCTCTGTGTACAGGCTGATCTTGGGATAAAATACACTCCTTCTCATGTCAAATATATAGGACATATCAACCCACAGCCACTCCCAGTGCATCCTGGGTACCACCTTGCTCTGGGTACAATCAAACAATCTAGCTTAGTGGGACATCCTGCTGCTTGCTCTGGGTGACTCAGAGCTCTGGGGCAGCAGACTGAACTTGTGTTTATGGCGGTGCCTCCCACTCACTCTGTACTCTGACTCTCTGTAAAACACTTCACAGCCGCCCTGACTTTTGGTGCAAGTAAAAGTTTGTCAATTGTTGCTCTCTTTCTCCTCTTAAAAAACCAATAAAAAAACCTTATCCAAACAAAATTAAGCTGTGGGGAGTCCATTAATAAAAGGTTTCTATTACAAAATTATTGACAATCTGCAAGGGGCTTCGGAGGAGAGTAGGAAGATCAATATTACCTAGAATAAAATAAGCAGGGCAGACATTATGCAGGGGAAATAGGCTCTTAAGCATGAGAGGGAATATAGATTTCTCCCTGGGCAGTCAGGGTTTGAATATGATGAAAAGGCATGTTAGACTCAGTGGTTTGGTAATTATTTGAGAAGTCTTGGGGAGACTCTAAATGGGGTTTAAAGAAACAGAAAATAAGCAAAACCCTAAGCTACAGCTTCGAGAAGTAGGGACTAAATATTTGCACAGACAAGCAAAAATTAAAAAGCAATGTGAATCCACTGGATGACAAAAATTCAGGCCATTTGATTAATTTGTGGACAGAACCAGGGTTCTGGAAGTTGTGTCGTGACCGTGTCTGTGTTTGCTGGGGGAGTGAGGGGGGCATGGGGAAAGGGCAGGCTTCTAGACAGGGTGGCTAATGGGAAGCTATTCCTCTTCTTTAAGCCTAGGTCCTTTACTTGTTTCTTGAAAGCTTTGCGAAGATGTGAGAATGAATGTGAAGTACAGTGGGTTGTTATGGAGAGCAGATTAATTTAAGGGGGTAGAGTTTGCTCTCCATCTCTGTCATGTGAGCCAATTAACCTGTAGGCCGGTGAAGTGCAATTGGCAGCTAATTGGGCCACTGTCGGAACAGTGCACAGGCCTTGGTGTCATTGCAAACTGCTGAGGTGGGGATCTCTGGATGGCTTTCAGGCTGAGGGAAAACCTGTTCAGTGCAGTGGTGGTGGGGCCTTGACGCTCAGACCTAGGGATTTGTAAGGGGACCATTTGAACTCTCAGTAACACTGAGCCGTTCCCATGTTGGTTTGCCCCTAACACTAGGACAAAGCCCTGTCATCATCCTTCGGCTGGAGTGTGAAAGCTACTTGCTAGGGCATGTTGCAGAGCCAGTTCTCAGGACACATACTGTCCCTTCATTCATTTAATGACACACTCTTTCACTCTACCTCCACCCTAGTTTGGTTTGTGTTGATGGTTCTGGCTCTAAATACTCATTCAGTCTTCAGACTTGGATGCTTGTGTCTGACTCCCATTCCTCCAGAGTTGGGAATGTTCTGATTCCTCTTACAGCACTTTAACCATCACTGTTCCTGCTTTTAATGCACTCTGGCTTTGCTGTCCCCCTGAGCTCAGTGTCCCTTACTGTCTTCATGTTTAAGGCCATTTTCCAGGGCAGACTTTCAACTTGGGTTACCCACATGTTGCTCAGGTGGCTCACTTTTCTCCACCAAGTAAAGCTAAAACATGCTTCACCTCCACCTCCTCTCCCAAGAGTGTAGATTCGGGTTCTATCCAACTTCTTCCAGCATAACAGCATCAGGAAGTTTTTCTTGTAATGACCTAAATGTTTCTTCTGAATGAAGAAAAGTAAGTTACTTCCTCTTTGTTATGGTTTGGCTGTTAAATACCCACCAGAGGCCTACAAGCTAAAAGCTTATTTACCAGCCTGTGGCCCTTTTGGGAGGTGCTGAAACTTTTAGAAATTGGAGCTTAGTAGTACGAAGTTAGGTCACTGAGAGGATATTAGGACCCCAGACCCTTCTTGTTTTTCTGTGCTTCCCAGCCACTACAAGGTGCTCTTCTACTCCATGTTCCTGGCATGATGTTCTGTGCTATCATGGGCCCAAAGCAACAGGGCCAACCCACCATAGTCTGAAACTATGAAGCAAAAAATATTTCTTCCTTTTAAGTTGATTAAATCAGGTATTTTGTCCTAGTAATGGAAATCTGACTAACACACTCATGTTTTTCCACAAGGGCAATGGAGACTAAAGAATACTACAAAAGGGAATTGTTCATAAGTGTGTATTCGTACTGAGGTGGACAGGTCCCTCTGATTCTTGGTAAATCTATGTTGTTCTTTCTAGAAGGGAACAGATCCCAGCTTTGTATAGCTTCTCATATGTCCTCTGAGGATCTTTTTTTTTTTTAAATTTTCTTTTTACTATTGGAGATCAAACCCTTGTGCTTGTCAGGCAGGTGATGGAACCACTGAGCCAAACCCCTGGCCGCCTCTGAGGATCTTTCCAGTACTAGCAAAGTGCCTTAGGCCTGATACTCACTGTCATACCTCCCATTATGAAGTCATATAAATGGCAACAACTCTTAGAATCCCTATCCCCGAGATAATATCCTCTAGAGACAGTTTCATGGACATGTGCCCAGGCTCTCAGTAGGATTGTCCAGCATAGACTATCTCTGGGAAGGCCTAAGAGATGCCACCCTAAGTGCCATACTTTTGTGCAGATTTGGAGCTTCTTCTGGAGGCCCACAGCATCCAGATATTCCTCGTGAAGGTAATTTACTCTACTGTTTTATGGGAGATACAAAAATGCATGGGGTGAAAATTTCTCCTATCCTGGATCTCAGAATAAACAAATTTAAAAAATGTAAGCTTTATTTGCATATCACCCATGAATTCTTAGAGGATTAGAAAGAGTAATTATTATTAGAAACATCTTAGATTTGCCTTCTATCATTCTCTACAAATGGTTTTCCAGCCCAAATGAGGGCACATAATATGGGGAACATATATATTTTTCTGTCTCCAAAATTAACAGGAAAAATAAGCAGTAGGGGAGGAAAGTCATGGAGAAATTATGCTTTTAGAAAATCTGTTTTTCCCCAAATATGATTACTTGCTTGTATAGATATTTTGGAAAATACAGAAAAGTAGAAAGAATGAAAATTTGTCTATAAAAATAAATGGAGAAAATTTCACTCAGATGACAGCAACAGAAATTGTTATATTTTTCTCCAGTGACTTATTGGTTTTTACCCACAAACATTATGGACTGCACAGATAATTATGTCTCCAATTTTGCACAAATTGCTAGAAAACTATGTAATGTTCATTTGGGTAGTAACTCTTCAATGATCCATGTGTATTGAATGCTGAGCATGTGCCAGGAACTCTGCCAGACCTTGGGGATGTGTGAGTGAACCAGACAGATGTGGGGGAACCTTACATATCTACCATTTATTCAGGTTGTGATTAGATGGACGTGGACAACCATCAATGTGTCTCACGAAATGTATAGGAAAATTTAATTCCTTTGGTGTTTTTGTATTCTTCCAGCATTTTCCCTTCTCCCCATCCCAAGGTGACTAGCCTGCACTGATGTGCCCTTGAATGTGGGTGAGACCTCTATCTTTCTTAGGTCTGTAGAAGTCACAGAAGTCACCAGGCATTGTAACTTGGAGGACACTGTGACTAGAGTCCCAGAGGAGAGAGAGGAGTGTGATGTGAGAGAAATGGGTAGAAGCTAAGAGAACCAAAAGTTTCCATAGAACTGAAAGGGAACAAAGTCTGGCAGAAAGCTGGGGGGGGCTCTGCTTTGTTCTCCCTGAGAGAGCCTCAGTGTGTGTGTATGTGTGTGTGTGTGTGTGTGTGTATGTGTGTGTGTGCGTGAAGCTGATAGTTCATAAAAGAAGAAGACTCCAGGTGCCTGTGCTGTCAGCAACAGTGAAGACCATCATGCCCCCGCTGTGGAGGGGAACAATTGAGCTGCCTGACTCAAGGCCCTGATAGTGAACATTTGCTTGCTGACTAGTGTGGAGCAATGACTGAGCGCCCCAAGGACTCATGATTGTTGAGGCTCCTAGGGCCTTTATAGAAACTACTTGGTCTCATACCAGTCTTAAGATTTCTTTGTGAGATAACAGGAGCCAACATAAGCTCACTACAAATTAGAACAAAATCTAATTCAGGTTTAATTTTGCCACATGACTATCATTGAACTAGCACTGATCAGCAAGTAAATAACACACACTTCCTACTATCTGCTCTTATTCACTTGGTCAAATCCCAGCTCTGTTCTTTTCAGGGATTTTATCATTACCTGGTGTACGAGATTCACTTGATATAGACATAATGGTAGGCTAGAAATAGAATTCTAGTTCCCTTATTAAGGTTTGCGTTACACAACCAGAAATTTTCAGACCAAAATCTCAGCCAGAGATAGTAGGACGGCTCTGTGCACCATCCCTATCTAGCCAAGCTAGAGGCCTTGTTAGGTTCTTATACTCCATTCAGGCAGAGATGGGGAATATCTCTCACCTATTTCAGTCAACACAAAGAGAGCCTATTTCTAGCATCTTTATGCAGACTAGTGTACAACTAATGTTACCAATTGCTACTGTGAGAAATTGTCATAAGCTCGGTGGTTTCAAACCATTTTATTCAGCATTTTATTCCTTCACAGTCTGAAGGCTAGGATCAAGGTACAAGTGGCCGTGTTTCCTCCAGACGCTCTGAGGGAACATTTGCTTCCTGCCTCGTTAATCTCTGCTAGCTAGAGGCATTGCGCGGCTGTGGCAGCGTCACTCTATCTCCACCTGTCTCCACATTGCCTCTTCTTCCTCTGTTGGCGTAAGCGCCCTCTGCTTCTCTCTTAAAAGCACACTTGTTACTGGCTTTAGGGTCCATAAGGATAATCTAAAATAATCTCCTTGTCTCAAGACCTTTAATTTGATTACATCTGTACAGAGCCTTTTACCAAATAAGGTAACATTCACATTCACATTCATAAATGATGGTTATAGGGATTAGGGCATTAGCACATGTTTTGGGGACTCATCATCCAAACTATTACACAGTGGGTACCTTTCTGATATTGAAGATGAAATTTAGCAGATCACAACACAGATAACAGGTACATGAGGAGCGACTGCCTCTTGAGTGTGGCTTTCTAGTAATTCCTTGCCGACCTCTCATGCTTAGTGTATGACTTCATGATAAAGCAAGTGACAGCCTCTAGGGTACAGCTTAAATCCACGCATGAACACATTTGTATTTATTAATGTAAGAATATATGTACATATTATTTTAAATATATATTTCCTACCATCTAAAATGAAAGTATTTGAAAGTGAATCATGACACTGAGCAGGAGAGGACCTCAAAGTGGCTTACTTCCAATCTTCAGAATGGGGTTCATAATCAGATTTACTTTGTAAATACCAAATAGTTTCTCTGGTGTGAATAAACTATAATAGTACATAAGATCCTAAAGAGATAACTGACATTGTGAAATGGGAAGAAAAGGGCTAAAGGTGTAGGGAAAGTGAGAAGGGTAGGGAAAAGGTAATAAGGGAAAGAAAAAAAATAGGAGAAGATGAAAAAATGGAAATAAAATGTTTGTAAATGGGGAGGGGAGGAGGGTGAAGGGAGGGCATGGACAAGGGGAAAAATGAGAAGCAAGACCTGTCATGTAAAGGTACAGGATCCCAATAATGAATGTAACTGTGCTGTATACCTAAAGTGTACCAATAAACTCAATGAAGGAAAAAAAAACATAGGCAAAAGATCTAAAAAGAAAAATGTATATAGTATAATGTTTATTTAATCCAAAGATGTGCTGGTAAATTCTTACCATCTACATAATATCATAGTTAATTCTCACAGAAATACTTAGAAAAAATTACTTTATCCATTTTGTAGGTGAGAAAACTGAGGCTCAGTAGCACAAATATTATGACACTGCTAGAGAGCATATCGCCGAGACTCAGCCGTGTTTGTGCCATACCCTCAAGTCAGATCACTTTGTGTTCAGTTAGACTGCCTTCTCCATGGAAACTTCTTTCCCAGCTTCTGGGAGTCCTTGCAGTTTCATCAGCTTTGGCTAAGTGCCTATTAGAGAGGTAACATCAATGAAGAGGAAGTCAGGAAAAGGAGCATAAAGATAAGAAAGGAGGTGGAGAGAGGTGAAAAATTCAGAAGCCTTCCATCTGTCAATAAAGAAGAGAACTGAGGGCATTTTCCTGAGCCTCCATAAACTGGGAGGACCACAGACCCTATAGACCTCTAAGAAGAATGACAGGCAGTACTGAGGTCTTGAGCAGTCCCCACACTGGATGCATCTTGGCTGTCTCTGAGCCTGGAGTGAGTTTACCCCATAGATCCCATAATTCTGGCTCTCTACTACCATTTGGTTCTACTTTAGCTATTGCCACCTCTTGATAATTCTCCTGAATAAGAGCTGACCCACAGATACTTTAAATAGTTGATTATGGGGTCCACGTCACTCTATTTTGGGATTGCTTGTCAAATACCATATTGTAGCAGTGGCTGACTGTTGTTTTTTGCATCTGTACCTGTTTTGTTCACCTCTGCCTACCACTTTTCCACTGTGAGTGCTACATTACTGCTCATGGATGCTGAGAACTAGCAGGAATTAGAGCTAGGTATATCTGCACATTGGCTGGGTTCTTTAGTTCACACTGGGCCCTGGGAAAGAGAGAGGTTAGTCCTCTTTCTATTTTGCGCCATGCTGTAGTCTGCCCCCATGGGGGAGGTGCCCCAGCATCTGTCTGAAGCCCAGTTTCTGAAGATGCACCAGCAGATTTAGCCATCCTCTCATATTACTTATAGATTCAGCATCTCCACAGCTGGATATGGACATGGAAACTTGTGACTTGAATTAAACATCCAAGTGAAGTTCACTCCCATCCTTGCTTCTTCTCTAACTGTCCACACCTGAGCCTTTTGCTTTTAGAAATCTAGAGGAGCATGACATTGTGGCACAGAAGCTTTTTGGAGACACAAAAGAGAATCACCAGTCGAAACTTCTGTGACTTCAGTAATGAGGATCCAGCCAGGATGAATACCAGTGGTTTTCTCTGGGGGTGGGATTATGGAGGCTTTCAAAAACATTTCTTTGTTCTCCAATGTGTTCTCTAAATCCTCCAAATTGTATATTTTTCTTGAGTACCAAAACAATAAGTGCTAATAAAAAATGAAACATCCCTGTAGCTTTGAGTGAAACCCAGTGGGCTAGGGTGAGGAGGGAGGGGTTAGGGCAGCTCTAACAGGACCTATTACAATAGTGGTGATGGGGGTGGGCCCAGTGACTCTCGCAGCAGCAGCCCAAGACTTGGAGACCAGCCCAGTCAGTGTCACTTGGCTCTGGCTTCCCTGAGGGTCCTGATCCTAATGTTAGCTTGCAGCTTGCAAAGGCCTCCCACTAAGAGGGTGGGGGTGGGAGGATCAAGGTCTCAGTGAGGGCCTATAGCTAGATCAAACAAGTGCATCAGCACTGTAGGGGTACCTTCCTTTGTGCAGTAAATGAGTTCCTGAAAAATGATGAGAATCAAAATGTTAAAAGCCATTTTATATGTGCCAGGGAGTTTCCTGAGTAAAAGACTCCTATTGTGAAGCCTTGGGTAAAGTGAATAATCCCTCTCCTTTTTATCTTTGGCACAAATCTGGATTTCCACTTGGGGTATTTTGAGTTTCCATGAGAAACCAGATGACAGAGAAAGACATACCTGGGAACTTCAGCTAGGACCATTATCTTTAATTGGAAGGGCAGACCAGGCCCAGTTTAAGTCCAGGTCCCGGTGCTAACGTGTCATGTCCTTGGCATATGTTGCTCCTCCTGCCTGGAATGCTCTCCCCCTAGATAAGCATATGGCTGCCTCTCTCCATCCTTTGGGTTGGTGATCAGATGCCACTCGCCTTCTTAGTGAGGCCTTCCTCATCAGTCTCTTTAAATTTTAACCTTTTAGCGTCCTGTTGCCTCCCCTTTGCCTGCTTACTTTTCCCCCATAGTACTTATTACCACTTGTTGAATTGTATATTTTCCTGATTTTCTTTACTGTCTGTGTCTCTTTCTGGAATGTACCCGCCTCCCCACAGGTGGGGTAGGATTTTAGTTGGTGTGTACACTGCTGTATCTGTGGTACCTGGATTAGTACCTGCTGCCAGTGTCTGTACCTCAGTAAATATCTGTTGCATGAATTGAACGTATGACCTTGGGTATGTTAGTTAGCTTTTCTGTGTGTATAAAAGATACATAAATGGGTGAAGTGAGAACGTGCCCTCAGCATGAGCATGGAGACAGGAGGTGCTGGTGGGTCTAGGATGACCTACAGAGAGTAGGAGCTCCCCTGCATCTGAGGGGACAGCCACTCCTCAGTGCTGGCAAACTTGTCACAGGGAAGCTTGCCCAGTATTGCTAGACTTTGTGTGTGTGTGTGTGTGTGTGTGTGTGTGTGTAAGGAAAAGCCAGCATTAAAAAAAAATTGAAATCACCTGATTTTTAATGTTAACAACCAACTCATTTTTACACAAACCTTGTGTAGGTCAGACAAAAACATCTGCAAGTCAGATCTGATAGGCAGGACCTCTGGAATAGATAGTCTCCCTATAAAATTCTTTTCTGTTCTGTTCTAATCTCTTTTAAACTTCTAGACTTTTATTAAATTGCTTCTATCTTTCCTGTAGTGGGAAGCATATCAAATCAAGCACAAACCAGGTAGGTTAACTTAAATGGTGAGGACTGGGCTATCTTATTTGTCTCCTCCACCTGACCAGGGAGGTCTGCTCCATAGAAAAGTTCAAGCTGTCTCCATAATGGCACAGAAAAAATTGACACACAGTGTGGACAGATTTGTTCAAGGACCAAGGCAGCAGGACTCCCGACACACTATTTTTCAGGTTTATAGGATGTAGAATATTTCCTCTGTGCAAAATAGGAACTCCACTGGGCCCTAGCTCTGGGCTGATTGGACAGCTTAGAAAGGGGGAAAATCACCTTTTCCCACTCTGTCACTCTAAAATTTCATTATATGCAGTGCATTTTATTCTCACATAATGAGTTCTGTTCCTTGGCTGCTATTAACAATCTTTAATGCGTGTATCTGATAACTTGTGAAATGTTCCAGTGAGTCCTTCAGGATCTGTAAAGGACCATGATGAAATCACAGCTGAAACAAACAGGAAATGTCCAAAAAATGGGATTGCTCTGATGACCTCCAATCCCAGAATCACCAAGATGAATGATGCTCTTGACAATTATATGGGTTGTAATTGGACTTCATGTTGCTGAATGAGTTGTTTTATGACTGTGATTCGGTGTATGATATGGAGATATGGGTCTTGGGACTAATAAGCAGCTGGAAATTCAGGACCAGGTTTGGAAAATGAGAGGTGAGAGAAGGGAGACAGGAAATGTGGTATGTGTTAATGCTGAGGTAAATAGGGTGATGGGGAAAAGGAAGGTGAGAAAGGAAAAGAGGCACAAAGCCGCAATTGCATAGCCAGCAAGAATTGCTATGGAGGAGCAGCAGCGCAGGCTTTGTACTCACAAGATCTAGGTTTGAGGAATGGCTCCATTTCTTATCAGCTATGTATGTGTGCTTAGGGTCAAGATCTTCAGTTTCACCTACTATCTCATGGGCCTAGCCAAGCCTTCCTCCAAGAATCAGTAGGAAAATCAAATCAAATAATGTATATGTGGTACCAAGTACAGCAGAGAGACTCAACACCACACATACCACCCAAGATTCTGGACCTCAGAAATCTTCAATTATTAAAAGGTACCTGGGGTTGAACTAAATCAAGGGGGCAATCTTAAATGTTTACAGAGTTGAGGGAAACAAAAGTAATGAGTTAGGCAACCAGTAGAAAAAAATACCACAGATTGAAGACAGATCAGGGTTCCCGGGAGCCTGTTACCTTTGCTGTGTTCTGAGATCTGCAGCACTTTCAGGGGAAGCCTAACTCTGTCTTAGGGTAAAATCTACTGATTTACAAGTGTGGGGACCTAACTCCACTGTCCAATTTTAAACATGTGTTGTGTGAGCCACTAATAGGTAGACAAGCCAAACCACAGGTAGGTCATTTCCAATCTAGGTGCTGCCATTTTCAGCCTCTAAACAGAAAGATTTAGAAAGATGGTAAAAAGAATTATTTATTAGGGCCTGAGTAAATGATTCTGGGTTCAGATGACCACAGAAAATGTCATTTTGACTCAGAACCCAAGTTATGGTTAGAATTCCACAGAAAAGTCAGAAAACCTTGCTGTTCCAAGGTCTGGGAATCAGAGAAGGTATATCCTTTGGTGGATTTAAGGAGAGCTGAAAAAGCTAGGTGTGCCCTAAATTTTTCTAACTTTAGCCATTTACAACAGAATTTCTAGATGTGAGACCTGGATATGGGTAGTTTTAGACTTCTACAAAATTTCCTGAGAGATTCAAAGATGTAGTCATAATTGTGACAACCAGTATAATATGTTCTAAAGGCAATCTGGGATTAAAATAGGATAATAATTTTAATTTATGTAAAAACATGTTTTGTAAAACAAGAAAATTTGTTTCCTGTGAGCTTTTCATTTATTTTATAGTCTCATTCTCTAATAGAAGAATAATAAAAATAACTGTCCTACCTCCCCACCTGATTAGTTAACATCTTCATCTGCATAAACATATTAACATATCTATTGCTATGAGGCTAATATGTACAATTAAAAGAATTTTCTGATGTTGTACAACTATATTTACATTTGCTGCCAATTTTTTAACTATGTAGACTGAAGTAATGTAGTAGTTGTTAACGTGGTCATAAATTATTTGAAGCTCTTTGCATCAAAGGATGGAGTCTATTTCCACAGGACTTGAAGCTGGGCTGGCCTTGTGACTTGCTTTAACCAGTAAATAGTATATGATAAACACAAAGTGCTACTTGGAGTTCAGGCCTCAGAGGACTCTAGCTTTCATTCTCATTTTTTTTTTTTACACCATTTGCCAAATATGGAAGTTGAGCCATGGAAGAAAACCAAGTTGCTCTCATTGACAGCCCAGTCGTCAAGCACGTGAACAGAGTTGTCCGGGTCCAGCCAGCTACCAACTGACCCACCGAGATCTGCCAACAGATTGGAAATGCCACATGAGTCCATCTGTCACCATATGGAACAGATCTGGGCTTTCTCAGCTGTATTCAACCCAAACTACTGACCTAAAATGTTGTGGGCAAATAAATAAATAACAGTCATTTTAAGCTACTAAGCTTTGGGAGTGCTTTGTTACACAGCAAAAGGTAACCGATACACATTTACTATCTTTTAAACAACAATAGGAAAGCTTTCAGAGGGTTGAATTAATACTCATATATTATTTTCTGGAAGGCCCAGAAGTTAGCACAAATATTTAAAAAGCAATATTTAGTACTTGGATACTATGCCTTGAATCATAGGGAGGCATCTGAAGGAGGGTAGGGAGCCTCTGACACATGGGAAAGACTTAGGAATCTCTAGGTATAATTAGGTGTCTTCTTAGTCCATTTAGGTGGTTATAGCAAAATACCATAAATATGGCATACTTATAAACAACAGGATTTTATTTTTCCCAGTTCTAGAAGCTAGGAAGTTCAAGACCAAGGTGCCAGAAAATTCTGGTGGAGATCAACTTTAAGGTTCCTGGATAGCACCTTTTCATTGTGTCCTTAAAAGGTAGAAAGGGGTAAGGCAGTTTTGGAGGGCCTTGTTTGTAAGGACACTGATCCCATTCATGAGTATGCTGCCTTCATGACCTAAGTTTCTCCCAAAGGCTTCAATTCCTAATACATTTAGGATTTCAACATACAAATTTTGAAGGGGACATATACATTCTCATTATAGCAGATTGGTTATTTTCAGCTGTAAATAGAATATATAAGCAGGAGACTTTTGGTAAAAGAAACACAGATATTTCTCTTAAGAAGTTGGGAATAAATTAATACAGGGTCAGTGTAGTAGCTCAAGTTCCAGGCTCTATCCCTCTTTCTTCCTGCCATCTACAGTTAACAATATTTCAAATTGGCTGCTGCAGCTCCAAGTTGTCTTATAATGACATTTCAAAAAGGAAGGGAAGGTGGTAGGGAAAAAGTTGTGTGTCTTTATTTATGAGGAAAGGGAATTTTTCCCAGGAGTTTTTAGGCAAATTTTTCTTATCCTTTATTGGCTAATGTGGAATTTCCTGGCCACCTTGTTGCAAGGGAAGCTGGGAATGAAGTCTGTGGTATTTTAAGTCTCTGTTATGAAAGGTGGGTGTACTTTTAGGAAAAAAGAGTAAGGATAGTAGTTAAGAAGTGACAAACAGGGGTGGCACTGGCGTTTGCTCTTTTCCATAGGCCAAGCACAGAAAAGATTGAGTACCCAAGGATCCTGAGGCTGTGCTTCAAGTATAGATAAAACATAGCCATTTGCCTTTGTATGAAGTGCTTATTCTGAAATTAACCACAACACAACACAGAATCTTTCGCGGTTATGGTAAATGGACATTGAGAATTTGAAGAACTGGCTGACCACACTATAGGAATGGGAGTGGTGCTGCAATTTCAATAATTCTCCTTGGTCCTTTGTATCTTGGTGGCAGAGAGTGAGAGACAAAGAACTCTCTCTGTATCCTGCTTTGGAGTCAAAACCAAGATGGCAGTCAAAGTGATCTCTATATCCAAACATTGTTAGAGAAGAAGAGAAATCACTACATCTTTCGAAACAATGCCTGCAAGCTGCGCAGCAGTGGATTTGAGAATGGATTTGGAGCCTAAGGTAAAGCAGGTAATTATTTCATTTCCCAGGTTCTGTTAGGCCCCCTTTAGACTACCAGAGAGGTAGCAGGTCTTCCAGATTGATTAGTCTTCACCTTTCCCAACCAAACTCTCTTACTTGCTTCAGGCTGTTTTCTTGTTATTTTAAAAAGCAAATTGATAAATTTGAAGCGTTACATTTTTATCTACAGTAACTTACCCTTTTCTTTCCTCTTACTTGTTAATGCCTTGAATTTACTTGTCTCCGCAGTTTTTCTTGACAGCTTTGTATATGACTCTCAACACATGGAATTATTCTGATAATCTCCCCAAATGGTATGCAGCTAAGAATCCAAATGTCCAGCACTGTAGATTATTAGCAGCCAATTCAGATCTGATGAGGAACCATAAACTTACCCAGTTTGAACATTGCGTGGCCAATCTAATATTTTGCTTAAAATTTATCTTTTAAAATTTAAGCTATATGGACTAGTAAGAAAATAATAATTTGTAATTGTAATTATCAGAAACAATTCCTTTCCATTTTGGTGAATATGCTTCTAAACTTTATGGGGAATTTATTATACATACTTATGTATGCATAAATATTATATTTAAACTATTCTCCCCTGAAGATTTATATGTACAACTATTATATTTATATACTGTATATATATTTTTTTTTGCAGGAAAAAATTGATCACAGTGGACATAGTGTATTATAATGAGCTTTTGCATTTAACAGTATCTCATGAACATTTTCACAAACATGTAAATGTTTAAAAAGAAAGCATTATAGATTGACCCTGATTTATAATAGCTTAGCTTAATAATTTTTTTGACTTTACAATTGTGTGAACGCATATTCAAACAACCATTCTGTATGAACATTTATCTATTCTCTAAAAGGATTTTAAGAATGCTGAATCATGATGCATTTAATTACGTATTTTCCCTGATTTATGGTGGCATTACATTTGAATAAATTCATTGCAAGTTAGAAATACACTAAGTTGCAAACACATTTAACACCCAATCTACTAAACATTATAGTTACCCTCACCTATCTTACATGTGTTCAGAACACTTACATTAGCCTACAAGATGTGTTGGGCAAAGTCTATTTTGTAATAAAGTATTGAATGGCTCATGCAATTAATTGATTATTGTACTAAAAGTGAAAACCCAAATGGTTGTGTGGGCATACTTCTACACCATTGTAACCTAAAAAAGTCATGAAGCCAACTAAGCTCAAATTTAGAATTTTATATTATTTCCATTGTATTCAATTATAAACAATGCTATGATATAAATCACCTTAGGGCTAAATATTCAGGTACACTGGTCATCATATTTTAGATTAAATTCCTTAAAGTAGAATTAGTGACTTGCCAATGAATTGCTGCCTGGTACTGGCAGAAAAGCTTTGTGGGGTAGTATGTACACAACTTGACCACATACCTGTCCTATAGGGGTATTTTATTTCTCCTGATAGTCTTAAGTGTATGGTTAGACTAAACAAGAGAGAAATTTTTTAGGAGAACAACAGCTGGAAAATTTAATGTTTGGAAGATGAATTGGTCACATTTTTGGTTACAAGTCTGGACTTTGTTTTGTGATTCCAGGATTATAACCCAGAATCCATAAATTTAAGTCACAAGTTAAAAAAATAAAATAGAAACTCAGCCAAGGCAGTGGTGAATTCTTGTTTTCATTATTACTTTGTTGGAAAGTTTTTCTTTGACATCTTCCCAGCTTTAACCACAGTTTATTTTTTCATGACTCTCTTCTTGGTGTTCTAATATAATATATAATATATAATATTACAAAATACATGCATACTATAATATAATATATACTTTTAGTAACTAGCTTGTTGAAATAGTTAATAGAAAAGGTTTAAATTACATGAATAATTATCCTATTTCTCTGATTCTAATTTTAAACGTACATATGGATGGGTGAGGAATTTAATAGGAACTTTCAAATTTCTCTTTATTTTTTTTCAGTACTATCTAAAAAGTGTTCCTTCTACTCCTTCCAATTCTTGAGCTCTCTGGAGTTGTAGGGCGAGGCAGGTAATGACAGGGCTGTGGTCTCCAGAACTAGCCAGGCCCAGCAGTGAGTCCCTCTGGCTGCAGGGCCTTGAGTTAGCCATTTCGTTCCTCTGAGCTTCAGCTTATCTCTAAAATAAGTATTTCTTTAGATTTAATAAATGAAAGTGACTGATTAATTTAAGCAAGAAGAAGACTTACAGGAAAGATCCTGGATAGCTCATAAAATGGAAGAAGGAACTAAACAAGTGAATCTTTGAAAGGCCTGAGCTCCAGATTCAGTCCAAGGAAAGCAGACTACATTGCCCTAACCATCTCTCCTCCAATTGGTCCTCAGGAAATGAGACCTAACTGGCTGGATTGAAGGAAATGCCCTTCTCTGGCCCCTGCTCTCTCCAGAGTGGTGATACCATGCAGTTTGATTGTCAGTTCTACTAGAAATGAGGAACAGTCATTTCTTTAACACAGAGAGGACTATTACAGAGGGAGAAGTACAGTTGTGCCTATACATGAAGCCAGAATACCCCCTCATATCTCTCTTCTAAAAAAAATTATTGGTACATTTTAGGTATATAATATAATAACATTCATCTTTGGAAATTTGTACCTTTACATACTATATCATGTTTCTTATTTTTTTAGCTATTCCCCTGCCCTCCCTTCAACCCCTCCACCCCTCCCTATTTACAGAGACTTTGTTTCCAGTTTTACATTTTCTCATGTTTATTCCATTCCCTTTTTTCCTTTCCCCTTTAGACCTTTTGTTCCTATTTCCATTATCTGTTATGCCTTTTGACCCTTATTTACACTTTCAGTTTCTCACACCATAGACGATTTGGTATTTTCATGTGTCTATCCTCACATCTCTTAGCAAGAGTCTGTTTTTAGGGTACCAGGCATATGAGATGTGCCCAATAAACAACAGCTACTGCAGTTATTACTCCTGTCAATAGTTAAGCCCCAAATTGTGTTACTAGGAAAGCAAGGATAAGAATTATAATACTGTTGTTATTTTAAGTCCTATGAATTCTCCATATGCAACATTTTACTAAAATCTAGGTTTCCTGAGAGCCCTTTCTTAGGCTGGCTATATCAGATCCTCTAAGGGGCTGTGGTTACTGGACTCTTCTTTAAAATGCAACTCAGACAAACCTTTTGTGCATTTAGTGTTGAGACCCAGAGCCCTTACAAATTAGGTGGGAGGATTTGACTCCCTTGCTCAGGAAACATTTGGAGAGCATGATTTTTCTCTACCACCACAGCTATGGAATGAAATAATCTAATTACATGGATTGGTCTGTAAATTGTTATTTTTTTCACCCTGGCTGCATGTTGGAATCACCTGGAATGCTGAAAGTTATCATCACCCAGGATTATTTTCCACTAGATGTTCCACTGCCTGGGGACCGCAGAGTCCTTCTATATCCATTCT